ATGCTCCCACCCGACTTATATGTTCTTATCTCCAGCAGGAGACTCTGTTTTTTATGATTTTAAAACATAGATTGAAAAAGTCTCCATCTTATCTCGGAGCAGAAGTGGTGTCACTTGCCAGCCCAAATATTCTACTAAGAGTTTCCCCTGTCACTCAGCTGTCACAGCTGTTTCTTTCAGCCCAGCCAGACTCCTGCTGAGATAAAAATACAACTCATTTAGGTCAATGATTAAATTGAAAGTTATACTATTACCAATTAAGTTTGAGCAGAGAGAAAACTCAAAAAAAAAAAAAAAAAAATTCTTTGAGAGGGTCACCATGGTACCTGTGCCCTCACACAGCAGCCCCGCCACCCGAAAGCAGAAAGTCTTATGAGAGCGCTTGTCACTAGGGTCTCCGCTTTCCACCTCAGAACAACTATTTATTGTCTCCCAAGCACGTTTTCATCTGGGAGCCTGTGTGCTCGTTGGGCTGTGGAAGGAAGCTTCCAGAGTCAAGCACGTTTCCTGAGACTGCCAGGCCCAAAGGAGCTGGGGAAGTTGATGCACGGCGGGTGAAGAACTCACGGAGAACACGAGAAGAATGATTTACAGTGCACATGACAGGTACATGTCTGAAGATCAGAATAGCCAGAGAGGTGAGGAAGGCACATTGCACAGCAGGCCAGGACGAGGGCGAGGTGAGCCAGGCGCCTGGCGTCCAAAAGGCCCACAGTGTCAGGTGCTGAGCCTGCCCTTATCGCGCCTCCCTAAAATCAGCACCTTTGGTGTCTCTCTTGGTCCCAGCCTCATGGTCCCCAGATTGCCAAGGACCAAGAACGGCAATAACAGGTTCTGTTCTCCAGACTGGGCTTGTTTTAAAGACTTAGCGCGGGAGGAGTGCCATCATAGCAAGCCCAGGCTTGTCTGCCTGAGCGGGTGGTCGATTAGGGGTTCACACACCTCGGCCAGCCACGTCTCCTGACCCAACCCACAATCGTAAAATGCTTTCCTGTTGGATTCCCAACCCGAGGAAGTCCCAAGTGGCCTGGGCAGAGAGACAGGACTCCCGCCCACATCTTGCTACAGGAGATTCCCCAGGCCCAGACACTCAGAATTCTTGCTGCATTGTGCTTTAGAGAGCCTATTATCCCTGCAAGGATGGGCTAATAGTTCTCAAGTAATTAAACCACACCAGGAGTCTTTTAAACGATCCTTTAATTACCAGTCTCACCACCAGAATTACAACCTCCAAATCCTAGTTGATGCTACTGTAGACTTTTGAGAGCTACAGACCATGGGAGAAAGATCCCAAGAGAACCTCTAGTATGGGACCATGGTGTGTGAGTGGGGACAGTTCTGCAGCATCGTGGCAGTCAGGACAGTGGTTCAAGAGTTTCCACCGGACCCGGCCCTAAACCACAAAGAGCACCCAGCTAAGGCCCAGACTGGCGGGGATGTTTTGTTAAAAGTAGTTTTAGCCTTACAGAAACATGATGGGAAGGAACAGAGTGTTCCACATAACCCCTCACCCTTCCGTCTATTTTTCCCCTATTATTAACATCTTGCATCTGTGCGGTTTATTTGTTAGAACGGATGCGCTGATAGTAACACATTAATATCAACTAACATCATTGTTCACAGAATTCACTCTTGGTGATGTACATTCTATGGATTTTGACAAATATACAGTGACCTGGATCCACCATTATAGAACAATACAGAATAGTTTTACTGCCCTAAAAATCCCCTGCACTCACCTATTTACCCCTCTGCTCCCCCAAACCGACAGGAATGTATTTTGATTTTCAATTTGCTAGAGAAAGGTGTATATTTTTCTTTTTTCCTTTGAAAACAAGTTGTGGTGTGATTCATTCAGATTACAGGGTCATCATAAAGCCGAGCTCGGAAGGTCTCGTGAAGCCGGGTCAAGATCACGCGATATCTCCCATGTCTCCTGCACCATGTGGCAACTGTGGGCTATTCATGGACCATAGCAGCCTCTTTGCCAGAAGTCCAGTAGCTGCCTGTATTCTAACTCTCATGTTACCCGACAAGGATGGGCATTCGTGAAGTCCAGATGATGCTGAAGATAGACAAGGAGTACTCAGAAACTTCCAGAATACAAAGAAAGGCAGAGCTTATCAAAGTATTGGTTCTCAAAGTATTGCCCAAGCACCCTCGCGGGGTCCCTGAGACCTGTCAGGGTCTCATGGGTTCAAAATGATTTTCACAACAGCACTACAAAGTTATTTTCATTTTTCACTCTTAGTGCTTCAAAAGTATACAGCGGAGTGTTTCAGAGCCTTCGTGGCTTCTGGTGACACAGCAGACTGAATGCAGATATAAGAATTCAGCTGTCTTCTATTAAGGCAGACAATAAAAAGTTTTGCGAAATGTAAAATAATGCCACTTTTCACTGTTTTTGTTTTGGAAAATATAATTTCCGTTTGTAAAATCATGTGTTTTATATGTGATGGGTTTATTATTGTCATTTTATGTGAAATAAATACTGTTATGTTTTTCCCAGTTTTAATTTCTAATATGACAAATATTGATAGATAGTACCCACATTCAAAGCTTTTTGGAATCCTCAATTTTTAAGAAGGCAAAGGAGTCTTGAGACCGAAGTGTTTGGGATTGCTGATTTATAGCAAAGGATTCAGAGTCAGAAAAACCTGGGTTAAAAAACCCAGGTCTGCCATTTGGATGAGTTATTTACCCCTAACCCACCCAGAGCCTTGGCTTCTTTATCTGTAAAATGGTGACAATGTTTACTTCATGGGTGGTGGCAAAGATTAATGACCTGCTGCATGGAAGAGCACCCTGCGTGCTTCCTGGCATAGCTGAGGCGGTCCATAAACAGCAAGAGAAGAAAAAGGAAGAAAATTCAAAACTCAGTTTCCATTCTCACATACGGCGGGGCCGTTCTGCTGTGCATGATAGAACTCTGAATAACTAATGGGGTCTTCTGCCCACCCCACCCCATCCCCATGTGCTGCAAGCAATGGCAGGCTGGAGTTGGTGGGCCTCCAATGACGGGAATTACATGATCAGAAGGAGAGGGCGCTTCTCTTCCGTTCTCACGGGAGAACAGCACGGATGGAGGCTTGCAAGGAGCAGACAGCAGAGCCTCCCCATGGGACGCTGAGCGGGCTAACCAGCCAGCTCATGCACACACTCGCACACGCCACGCACACATGTCCATACTGAGTGAATATAGATCCGTGAAAGAGACCATATCCAAAATCAAGCTTCTCACACAATCGTAACCTAATTAACAGGACCTCAGCGCATCGCAGCCTCACGAACACACAGTTGCCATCCTCCCTGTTGCTTTTCATCTGGATGAGCAGTCAGCCGAATCCCAGGGCCCACCCAGAGATCTGGACACAACTAGTCGGGGGCAGAGACCGGGCATCTGGGTTTTCATGCAAACTCCAGACATGCAACCGGAGGAGAGCCCGCCAGTCCGCCCTGGGCAGGCCAGAAGACCTGAGCAGGGTCTTTCTCGCTCTCATCACACGTCCAGTGCAGGAGGGCAAGGGGACTCTGTTCACTGTAGCCGCCAGGGGAACCCGGGACCCATCTCCGTGACTGCTGTAGTAGAGGGAAGAGAAGATAGCCCAGGAAAGACTTCTTATCGACCAAGTTCCACACATCGCTTTGACATACACTTTGTTGTCCAGAGCAAGCCACACGGCCCTACCCAACGAACTTCACGGGAGTGGGAAGGTGCGATGGTCCGGGCCCCACGCCCTAATGACCTTCCTGCTAACCTTCTCTGGGCTCTGACGACCTGCCAGGGATGGTGCTCAGCGGTTTGCATCTGTCCTCGTCTCATCTGAACCCCACAACAACCTGTGAGGTAGAGTGTGTTTACAGCCCTGCTTTACAAAAGAGGGCTGCAAGGCACGGACAGTTTAATTTGCCAGCGTCACCCTGGGAGCTAGAAATAGGGCTGTGATTTGAATCCAAGCTGTTTGACACACTTACCCACTGGACTCTGCTCATTTCCTGATATTTGACTAATAATTACTTGAGCAGGGCCCGTATGGGCGGAACTGGGGACACAGCAGAGCTCCAGGGAGCCAGGCCCCTGTGCAGTGCAGGGGGCATGCGTTCTGATGGAGTTTGTCTACATCAGGCGCTGTTAGGATTCTAACCCCAAATCTCAAAGCTGGAAAAAACTAAAGAACCCGAGCCTAAATGCCCCTCCATCTCACCTTCTCCCCTTTCCACGGGGGAATCCTCTCTGCCACACCCCCTCCTCCTCCCTGGGGGCCCCGCAGCCTCTTCACCAATTCTTTCTTTCTCTCTGGGGAAAGCCCAGTTTACCGCAACTTCTTCTTAGCACTGAGGCCTTGGTGCCCCCATCCCTGGGCCAGAGGGAACTGGAGTGGCCTCCTTCCTCCTGGCCTTGCCCCCTCACGTAATGGAAAGTGTTACCCTGTTCTCTAATAAGAATCAGCTCCTGCTCCTGGAATGAGGCAGAGTCTTTAAAGAAAGGCGAAGTTCCCCGTGTTTCCGGGCCCGGCAGCCACGTGGCCGCCCTTACACAGTGTCCGCTTCTGCTGTTCTGGGTGGACGTGTCCCCACTTCTTTGCTTTGCAACAGCCACGCCCCGTGGTAACATCAGCCGGCAACCCTCCGGCCCAGCCTTTTCCATGGGCGGGGGGACACTCGCTCAGAAAAGTCAACTCCTGTTTCCTTCGGGCCTTGTGATAACGTGGGCTCCCCCTGCCCCGCCCCCCACAGCCCCGGAAAAGGACTGTGGACCCCGCAGAGGCATTATCCAATCGGTTCAACTTGCCCAGGGCTTTCTGGTTAGATTCTAACTTCATTTTAAGAGAAAATAGCCAAAGGCCACAGGTTACTAAATTTCTTTTCTTTTCCTTTTTATCCTCTCTCAATCGCAAAGACCAGGCCCAGGCACTAAGTTGTGAATTATTCCATCTTTTCTCAAATGGACCATATCAAGGGGCCGTGGAGTCATAACAGAATGAGCTCGGCACTCTGAGGCTTACCCAGTACTTTTATTTATATACATGTAGACTCTCTTATTTGATTCTCGCTCACATTATGCTGGTGAGACAGACGTCAGAATTCCATCCATTTTGCAGAGCAGCGAACTGAGGCTTAGGGAAGTTCAGCAGCTGGCCCGGCGTCACACGGCGTTTACATGGGAAAGCTGGGCTTGAACTTCGGGTTCCAGCCCGCCATCGCTACCATTGCCACCACGTGCTCACCAAATTCTACTCCGGCAAAGCGTCGTTTCCACTTTCGAAGATTTCGTGACCCCAAACCGGAACTAAGATGTTTGCTCAGCAAGTTGTATAAAGCCTTTCTGGGCAGGTATCGTTTGAGACTTAGCCTAGAAAGTGCAAGGGGGCGGGGGGGAGGCAAGCAGGGAGCGGGCAGCGGAGAGAGAACACAGCTCATGGTTTACCCTGCCGGCTTCAGAGGGCCCTGCGGACGAGCTGCATCCCTGAGCCAGCCCTGGGCGCTGTCGCCTGGATCTGCAGAGGGAGGGCTCCTGACACAGCAAAGGTGGACAGGCCTGTGAGCCAGGACTCAGAAGACTAGGGTGAGGATTAGGACAGGTGGAAAGGAAGGCAGCCGAGATGCTGGGCAGAGAGCGGCCAAGGCCCAGGCGAGAACGCCTTTGCCAGGGTATTTTAAATTCTTCGTTCTTAAAAACTTTGGCCAAGCACACGAGAACACACGTGACCCAGACAGGACCGTAAACATCCACCTCCCCCATGAGCTGGCACTCCACTGATAACCCAGCCCCCAGCGGCACCTGACGGGCAGGAGGAGAAAGGGATATGACCTGAGCCTTCAGCCACAGGTGTGTGCTCACACGCACCAACTGCCCACTGCTCACACGCACCAACTGCCCGCTGCCTCTTGTGCATCTTCTGTCTCTTTCAAATATTCTCACTTGGCCATTTTTCTCAGGACAAAGATACAAGCCCAACTTGGGTTCATCAGAGGCCAGAGAGGTGCCCACCTGAGTCCCTGAGGTAAAACCCTTCAGCCTGCTGTTATGATTTTTGCTTCCTTGTCTCTTCCCTATTAGAGTAGGTTTATAAGTCCTGGTGTGTCCACAGTAGGTGCTTCATAAATGGTAGCTGGCCAGAGCAGCAGCTGGGAGGAGACCCTGAGTCGGTTGATGGTACCACCATGGGCGCCGTGCTTCATAAATGGTAGCTGGCCAGAGCAGCAGCGGTTGATGGTACCACCATGGGCGTCTGTTCCCTTCTCTAAAGTAGAAGGTTGGCTTGGGGCATCTCTAAGACCAGCTCAGCTCTGACCCTGAGGCTTCTCGCGTTCTGTTGTTGCTCCCCATTCCAGGACTGGCTCTTGGCAGCCTGAGAGTTTTGCTCAGCTCTCACTATCTGCTGGCCTTGTCTGCCCCAGAGCTTCAAAGTTTGGAGAGCAGGCAGTGGGTTCTCATAACTGGTGTGAATGACGCTCGCCCCACCCACACACCCACACACCCACACACCCACACACCCACACACCCACACACACACACACACACACACACACAGACCCCGCAGGCTGCAGCCTGGTGGCGGGGGGCTGTGCTCTAAAGGAGGGGCCTGGGCCCTTGAGGCTGCTGTTGCTTCGTGATCACGCTGCCCCATCTCTCAAAACCACCTTTCAGCCTGACCAGAACAGACCATTGTCTTCAGGTCTACCATCTCTGAAAATGCAGGTCTACCATCTCTGAAAATGCACCAGGCCTCACAGACATTGGGGAGCAGAAGACCGAGATGCATCCGCAGCCAGAGGATGGAAGCCCTCCCAGGTCCCCACCGACACCCAGTGTCATGTGCGTTTCTGGCTTTTTGGCGCCCACGCCGACGTCCCTGTCTGCCCCTGACTTTCAATCACAGCATCCTGATTTCCTTTTGGAAACTTGGATGCAATCCGTCGAGACCATCATTCAAGACGCCCTGCCCCGCACAAGGCAAGAGGTGGGCCCCAGAGCCCAGCCCGCTGCACAGACTTCCCTGGAATCTGAGTCGTGGGCAGAGACAACGAAGCACAAACGGCCGGCGCCCTCATCCCGGAGGCGCTGGGGGACCTTCCATCACCGTCTGCCAAGAGGCTCGGCACCCCGCGCCCTGGAATTTAGTGCTCTCTCCTCCACCTTCTCTCTGGTTCTGCCTTTTTCAATTCCCTGTTCTGTCGCCCACACCCAGAAAGCTCTATCTGATTCACGCTCCAAAGCCCAGGGCGAAGGGTTAAAGAACGCACACCTTCGGTTCTCTTGGGGCAGCGGGGCCGGACCCCTGCCTCTTCCTCAGCATGGCCGGACCACACGTGAGGCCAGAGCTCCAAGCCTGATGCCCGCTCTGGGCTTCGTGGCCTCCGGCTTGGGACTTGACTTCTCTGAACCTCAGTTTCCTCATCTCTGAATTGGGAACGTTTGCCTACCTGGTGGGGCTGGGGTGTGGGCGAGCACGGGGCTGGGAACCCCCAGGACATTCAGGGAGGGTAGGTTGTTGTTCTGGTTGTCTTTCCAATGAGAATCGCTCCTTGCTTCTCACGCATTAACCCCAGGAGGTACTGGAGAAACAAATCAGCTTCTTCCTGATTCACGTACACCGAAATCACAGCATTTTTGGTTGCACAAAACATGAAGTCGCCAAGAAAAGCCTTCCTGAGGCGCTTTGGATAAAGGGCTTCTTTTTCTGACTCGAAATAAGGAGTCATTCGCCAAACTGAAATAGCACATAAACCTTAGAAGCCACAGATTTGAGTGAAATCTAATCTTAGCCAAAACTGGCAGGAGTGAGGAGGTGTGGGGGAGGGGGAGGATGAGTCAGAGATTCCGCTCTTTGGAGGGGGCAGCCTAATATGGCATTGGGGAGCCACGAGAGACGACTTAGGTATGCCTGGACTCTCAGACTGGAGCCGTGACTCTGGCCAGGAACCAGCTGTGCCCCCCCCACCCCCACCCGCCACCTACCCTCGCACACACGCGGAGCAGAGCCTTGGGGTGCAAACCGACACTGGGAACCCATGTCAGGTTAGAAGGAGCCAGCCGAGAGACCAGCAGCTTGACCCCAGAAACGAGGGCAGCCACCTCTCTCCCAGCCTGCCCCGGTTCCCATGTCAAGGTAGAGACCTGTTCCTTCAGGAGGACACGGTCTTCGCTGACCCCAGGGTCTCCTAAGTGCAGCTGACACTGAGTCTGTGATATGCCATGGAAACGTGTGAGTAACAGGGGGGCTGCACCCCACAGACCCTCAGAGCGTACGAAACTTATTTTCATATCTGGAGTAAAGGACCAGGTCAGGGATTTCTGAATAGTTTTACGACTTCATGAAAACACAGACGCCCCCTAAATGGCGTGCGTGGAAGCGAAGCCAGTTTCTGGTCCTGGCACCTCACTAGTCGTGTGACTTTGGGCAAGTCACCTTGTTTCTTCGTGCCTGTTTTCTCATTTGTTTGGTGTTCGTGTCTTTAAATCATCTGTAAATTGAATGAAATAGAGACGAGGTTCTTAAAGTGGAGGGTTCTTCGGAAGCATCCTGAGGACTTGTTTCCCGGGCTCTGACTCAGGGTCTGATTCAGCGGGTCTGGGGTAGGGCCTAGGAATTCGCATTTCTCACAAGCACCCAGGGATACAGGAGTCCTCAAGGACCTCGAGAAGGAAACCAGAATCTCACTGTCCTGCCTTCCCAGCAAAAGTCCTCTGATTGGGCTGACCGAGGTGTCATGTCCCTCCTGCCCAAGGCTGCAGTCAGGGGAACCAGGCACAGACTAGCCTGGCCTGCGGTGTCCATCTCCAGGGCCAGGCAGTGAATCCACTTCTCCAGAACCACACGGATCTTGAAAACTGAGAGTGGGGACTGTTGGAGAGGGTCAAGGGACGGAATCGTACTCAAGGGTCAAGCAGCAAACACCTGCCGTGGCGTCAGAGCCAACACTGGAACCGAGATGAGGGCTATTCCTGCGTCTCTGTTCCTTCCGGCACACCTGGCCCCTTCCCGTATCCTCTATTTAAAGGGTCAATTCTTGGCATCGTTTGCTGACCCAGGCTCCTGTGACCAGATGGAACAGATCTGGGACGAGTCCTAGTTCAGATCCCCGCCTCTGGAAGAGACTGTACCTAAACATTCCAGACAGATGATGAATCCCATCCAGATCCCTCCAGGAAGGAAGTGGCCACCTCGGGTCTTCTGACGGCTGCTCCTGGGGAAACTTCAGCCACACGGTATAGTCACACTGGGTCATTCATGTATAAACCCGCGCCCTGGACGAGCGTACAGGAAACTACCATTCTCACCTGGGCTTGCAGACTCACACAAAGTCTATTTTCTGACCTTAGAAAGACTCCCAAGTAATGAGGGTGATGATGAAGATGATGATGAAGGGATCAGTGTGTCCCTGCTTTAGTTCTGGCGTCCCACACTTCCCAGGAGGTGTTTGTTCAGAACGGGATTTCAGGTTTTAGATGATTTGCTCCCAAAAGCAGGCCAACAATTTATCACCCTGATCACCCAAGCTGCCTGGGACTCACCCAGGTCCAGCAGCTGAGGAGAGGAAGAGCGCAGAGATCAAGCCTTCGGTCCACAGCCTGAGACGAAAATCTTAGGGCCAGAAATGGATCCAGGGTTTCAGTTCCTGCTATGGCCTTCACCTCAGATCTACACAGAGGTTGATCAGGGCACTGAACTGGGACGCATTTACTGGAAAACAGAATACCGTCAAGAATCAGCCAGCCAACAGGTGGCCTGAATTCAATCCAGGCGGTGCGACCTTGGGTAACTCACATGAGCTCTTCGTGCCACAGTCTTCTCATCAGCAAATGGGACCCTAAGACGTGCTTATCCCTTAAAGGTCGTTGGGGGGAAATTAAAATGTGTAACGCACTTGAAATGGTACCTCGTGCATGCCAAGCCCTTTATAAATATTAGCTATGATTATTCAATTTACAAGACATCGAGGGAGCATCGCCTACAGGTCTGGGTCGGATACTGTATTAGGTGGCCGAGATTTTGAGATCAGTAAAGATGCAGAAGCTTAACTTCAAAGCGTTCATGGTCTAGCGGAAGATAAGACCAGGAGACAGATAAACCACGATACATTAGGCAATATCCTCCCTGAGCCTTGAATAAAGTACTAACTCCACCTGGAAGAGACCAAGAACGATTTCCAAGGAATGTGACATTTGACCTGGCCTTTGAACAAGTTTGCCACAGGAAAGGGCCCGGCTGTCTATGGAATGATGGGTTCAGAGTGACAGTAACAAAGTTCCCAAGACAGAAGTGGTGTACACAGTCCTAGAAAGTTGAGTAATATGTCACACGTCACACGTCACACGGCAGACTTTGGACTTTGTCCTGAGACAGCAGGAGCCAACGAAAGTTTTTAAGAAAGAGAATGGGATGGGATGAGATGTGGCCTTTTTTGGGACTCAAACTGGTAGCAGAGTGGAGGGTGGCCTGGCTGGGGAGGCACTGGTGCAGCCAGGCCAGTCGGAAGGCTGCGCCCAGGAAGGAGATGGTTAGGGACACAGGCAACGGCCATGGCCATGGCAATGGGGAAGTGGGGGACAGAATCGGGGCCTTTTCATCAAGACGATGTACAAGAAGTGGTTAACCAGATGCTGTAGAAGAGAAGAGGGAGAACTCAAGGCCACACGTAGAGTCCCCAGCTTGGGAGCCTGGGTGGATGGCGTTGTCCATGTCAGGGAACACAGGACGTGGAGCCGGCTCGGAGGTTGGCATGAATCAAGTGAACGGATACGTACCGGGTGAGTTAAGTTTGCATTTTCTGTAGGCTACCTCTTCATACTTAAAATATCAACTAATTCTTGAAAAAAGAAAGTGAATAGGTGATACAGAGTGGGTTTTCAAAATTTTCCGTGAGAACAATCCGATTGAGCCTGGAGCTCTATTTCCTGGTAATTAAAACAACCGAGAGAACCAAGCCAAATCACAAACACCTGTGAAGGCCAGGCCAGGATCGGAGGGATGCGACCTCCTCTTCATTCCTAACGGAACCACGTCCACTCATGTTGTCGGTTAACACAAATTAACACACTTAAGAGACAGCAGCTCTAGGGTCCTGCCAAGGCCCCATGTCAGCGTGTTCCCCAAATGGGAGAGACAAAGTCCCCTTTCATGCAACCCTCTCCTCATAATAAAAAGAGAAAATACCAGTTTTAACCATGGAAATAAATGTAGGAGACGATGGCTTTAAAATTAAAGGTTAGAAAGCGTCATGCGGCAAAATCTAAACCCCCAAAAGCAGTCTGGAGAGCCACAAACCACACATATTTGCACTTCAAGAGCGAAAGATCTTTTGAAAGAGTCCTTGAAATAAAGATTCCCAGGTTCCACTGGGGTGGGGAGGGAGCAATTTGGGTCCAAAACACATCTTTATGGCCGGGTCTGAAAGCCCAGGAAAGTCTTCCTAATGGAAATGCTGACCGCCCGTCCACACACCACAGCAGCAAGATCTTGGCTTTTTAAGAAAATAAGACTTTCCTTTGCAACTAGGTCAACTGAGAAAGAAAGCAAGAGTTTCTTCTGGAAAGTTTGTGGTTTTCCAATGGAAAACAACTCCATTATGGAATGGGATGTCTTACTGCCTTCGCTTTTACCTGACGCCAGGTTAACTGGTTGAGAGAACGGAGAGGCAGAAAAACAGGAACCACCTGTTGTCCAGACAGGTGTGGTCTGAGAACCGGAGGGAATACGCCATCCCGGACCAGCAAGTTCTACTGGGGCGTCACAGGCTCAGGCTCCCACTGAGCCTCAGCAGGCGCATCGGGGAGTGAGGCCGGCCACGTGAGGGCTCACATGCCCGGTCTAAAGGGAACAAATTCTAATCCACTCCAGCTACTGACTGTGGCTGCGCGACACCAATTTTATCAACATTTCTAAGAGAAGCTTGAAATCTGCACGTGTGTGTGAAATCTTCCGAATGTTAACGTTGAGAACCAGTTCCAAAAATCTTCAACACAACTTGGGCCAAACACGGCCCGAGCTCGCTGGCGCCCACCGAGATCTGGGCTCTGTGGGTCTCGGCCTTGTCAAGGCGGAGTTTCAACATGTCAAGAGAAGAGGACTCATTTATCGTGAACTGTCATGATACTGGAAATTCCTCCGTGTGTCACTGTGCCCGATGCCCGCCCCCTCACCTTCTGTGGGCCTCGATTTCCCCTTCTGTGAAGAGACGGAGTAGGACAAGGTGAACTGCAACTGCTCACTTCCCTACAGCCTAGAATTCGACGCCCTCGGCTGCCAGAAACCGTACAACACGAAAGACGCATTTTCTGGAAGGCAGAGGCAGCCTTGAGCCGACGGGGAATTCAGGGAGGAGAAGCCTCGCAGGTGTCAGGTGGTTTCTTGTGACAAACCTCCCTCATCTCGGGAAGGAAAGAGAACTGATAAGCTGAAGGTCACTCACGCTTCAGTGACAGGGTGGCCTGTCCCCCGCCGGGGTTGGCGTCGGTGTTCAGACTCAGCCCTGCCGTCGCTGCCAGGCCTGTATGGCAGCGGCCTCGTCCATTTGTCTGCATTTCGAAGATAAGGAAACGGAGGCTCAGGGGTGTTTGGTGTCTCACCCACGATCACACACCAAGGAGAAGGCCGAGAGAAACCGAGGCTGGTGTGTGAGGCAGGGCAGCCCATTCCTGGCACTAAAAACCCAAATACTGCAGGAAGAGTGGAGTCCCGGTGACAAGTGGACCATGAGCGGCCTCTCCTCACACTCCGCCCCTTCTCCAGCCCGCCACGGCCACATGGGAGA